AAAGTATCATTACACAGGGAACACTGGAGTTCCTTCTTAAGATCTTCAACAAACGATTCCATGTCTTCGGGAGTTGAGACGAGATGAGGGAGTTGTCTGAATAATGTTGTTTGTCAGTATTTGGTCAGGTGATTCTTGGAAATGAGCGTGACCTTACTTCCTTGAAATGATGTCAAGCCATGAATGCATATTTTTTTCGGTTTCTTAATAGTCGAGCTATTGAGCGATCGAGCGGGACGATTCGCATCGACGATTTTTCGCAATACGACTTGTCGATTTTTTTTATACACAAGTCAACTACTCGCGCAAAGTACGTATTAGAGCATTGAACTGCAATTTAGGGGTTGTGTGAAAAATCGTTAATGAAGCTCTTACACGAATCAACTTTCAAAGTGTTCGCTGTTCTCTATGCGTTGCGAGTTTTTGAAGCTGAACCAAGAACTTCCAACATGTTGGCGAATCTTTTGCGAGGATATAATATAGAGATATTCGCTTCTTTAAGGTAGTACCGGATCTTCAAAATTCTTCTATGAAATTTTTTTTTTTAATTCTGTCATTCGAAGTTTATTGCTAGGGCATTCAAATAATAATAATAATAAAAAAGAAGGGGGTCCCTGTATTGGTTATCGAGATATAAGGCGTCAAAAAGGTGTGATTTTTCAGTTTTCCGCCGAAAATCTGTCCCCGCCAATGAATTCGAATTGCTCGATTGGACTTAATAAAGAAAAACAGAAAAGTGTTTTAAACGATAGTTGTTGAATCTAGGAAACATACCTTGATTAAAAAAAACATGCAATCTTTTGAAAGTGGCGTGAAAATTAAATTCTAAAAGGGAAATTGATTGCAATTCGGCGCAGTTATATGAGTGTGTGGTTGTAAAAATGTTGAAAATTCATGACAATTTTAACTATGAATTTTTTCTTCCCGCACTAAATCCAAAGAAAATGATATCTAGGTTTAAATAAAAGGAAAAAAATTGGGGGTCAACGTACTAATAGACGAGCTATGAGCGACTAAATCCAAGGTTTTTGGTCAAAAAAACACAAATCCTGTCCGCGCGGGACTGGGTTCTAGTACATTAACCTGTCCGAAACGTGTTAAATCGTCTTTGTAGTCTCCAGAGAATCTAAGACGTATTTCGAATTGATTTTGAGAATAACATGTCAAATTCATTTTGTGTTACTTCATTTTCATAAAGTTATGAATTTGTTGTTTTGAATCAAGAGTGATCAAGTCAGGCAATGAAAATCTAAGCATGTTTTGAAAACATTTCATTTTTGCCTCAAAAGGTCCATGAATTAGCAAAATACTTGGATAAGTTATAGAAAAGGATTCAACTCTGACATTATTTAAATCAATTTTCAAAACAGCGCAAATATAAAGGGTAAAAAACGAGATGCGCGAAATGGATGCGCAGTAGCAAGGGTCCGGAACTACCTTGATAGCAAAGGAAAATTTTCTAGGATATAGAAATCTTTGTGGCGACATAACGAGCTCAGAGAATTTTCTAATTATCGAATTTCGAAAGTTTTCCGAAAGATTTCGTGTGCAAATGGTGGATGACAATGCAATATACCATCGTTGTCTCATCCATTAAACGGTCGTTTTTTGTGCACTTTACTTTTGGATTTTTTAAAAACCCGTGTTAGAAGATAAAGAAAGGAAAGCAAAGGGGCAAAATGTAGGAAAGGAAAAGAGACGAAAGGAAAAGAAACGAAGGGAAAATAGAAAGAGGAAAACTTTGATCTTATGAAATTTTTTTTTCTCAAAGTACCACAATAGAAACAAGTTTTGACACGGGAAAACGTGTCAAATGTGCTGTGCACATTTGATACTTTGAATAGAGTACAAGACTATTTGGGATTTAGTCATTGTAAGACAGAAGAAAGTCCGTGGATTCGGTTTGAATATTTTTTTACGGTCAAATTGAACCAGCATAAATGAGTCT